TCTTAACCCAATCTGACCTAGCTTAGCTTTTCAAGACCAACTAAGGTCAGTTAGGTGCTGCCACCTAGTGGGCATAGGGGGTAATACAATTATTTTATGTACATCTACATTTGGATGTCCAGCAAAAGACGGGAGAGCCATTTGTCCAGAATGGTAGGGGGATTCCTGCACTGGGCAGGGGGGTGGACTAGAAGACCTTCAAGGTCCCTTCCCACCCTAGGATTCAACGATTGGGAGGCATGCAATGCCTTTCAAAACAAACTTAATTCTGAATGGCTGGACTTGTGGGGCAGGACTCAGATATTTTCTCTTGATGGTGCAACTCACTGTCATCCCCCCTAAGTTTATTTATATGACCATTTACACAAATTCACAAATCAGGTTTTTATTCTCTGAAATGAAATGCAGGGAGATTTAGGACAAACAAAAGGAGATCATTTTTTCACGCGGTGCCTAAATTGTGGGATTGGGTCAAGGCAAACAGTTTGGATGGTTTTTAAAGGAGTCTGGAGAGGTTCATGGAGGATCAGGCTATCAACGGCTACTAATAGCAGTGGCTGCAGATGGTCAAGATGGTGCCACCATGGCGTGATCAAAGTTATGCCTTTGCACATAAACTAGACGCTGAATTTCGATCATATCATCATGGTTCCACCTTGACTTTTTTGATCATGCCCTGCGGACACCTCTGGCTACTAATCATGGTGCTGATGGACCATCTCCTGAACTGTTCTTAGGAGCCTTCACTACTGGTTGTTTGGAAGCGACAATGAAAAGGGCGTTCTGCCCTCCAAGTCAAGTTTGTGAAGTTCCCAGATGCATCCAGCTTGACCTTGGGAGACCCTGAATGCTGGACTAAGTGGGCAGAAGGCCCAGTCTAGCAAGGTTGGGGGCAGAGATATGGCTTCACGATGCAAACTCCACCCCTATTGTTCATGTGCTATGACATCATGGCTAGGTAAGAAAGGGGTGGAGCTTGCATCCCAAAGGCATCCAATGGGCAGGTTCTTCTTATATTCTTAAGTCAATGTTTCTCAACCTCAGCAGCCTTAAGATGGGTGGACTTCAACTCCCAGAATTCCCCAGCCA